TAGGGTTTAGGTTTCTAGTTTATGGCTTAGGGGTTTACGGCTTTAGATTTTCGGGGGTTTAGGCTTTGGGGGGCTTCGGGCCTTTGAGGGGCCCCAGGACACCTGAAAAGCCCTGAAGCGCCCCGAAGCCAATAAAAGGCCCACTTGGAGGTTCAGGGTACTCACAACCCGAATTATAAACGTACTTATAACCCTAATTATGACTGTACTTATAACCCTAATTGTGACTGTACTTATAACCCTACTTATAGCCCGCATTATCACTGTACTTATAACCCTAATTATACCTGTAGTTATAAGCCCCCTAAATCCCCTAAGTAGGTTCTAAGTAGACTTATAACTGTGGTTATAAGTACCCATAGAGGCTCCAATACACCTTAAGTACGGGATATGCTTTAGGGTTTAGGGCAAAGCTGAGGGTTATTAGGGCTCTTAGGGTTTTAGGGTTTTTAGGGTTTTTAGGGTTTTTAGGGTTGTTAGGGTTGTTAGGGTTTTTATGGTTTTTAGGATTTTCAGGGTTGTTAGGGTTTTTAGGGTTTGGGGACCCTTAATTCAGGAATATTCCTTCAAGTATAGGAGGGTTCCTCTTCTGGTGCAGGGAATCTTCCTTAACTAAGGGTGCTGGGGTCCCTGGGTTCAGCTAGAATGGGGTGTTTCGAGTAGCTTACAACGGCAGTAGAGGCGCGGGCCCGTCTTTGTGGCCAGTTTACACTATATCAACACAGGGATCCCGCACAATTCCACGAGCCAACAGAAACTCAAAGCCCTAATCCCTGAACTCTTACACCTAAACCCTGAACTCTAAACCCGAAACCCTGGACCCTGAACCCTAAACCCCAAACCCTAGACCCTGAACCCTACACCTCAAACCTTGAGCTCTAAACCCTAAACCCTAACCCCTACAAAACCCTAAACCCTACACCCCAAACCCTACAAAACCCCCCAAATCCTGCAAGAGAGGCCCCCAGAAGCTGGGGCTCGAGGTCGAATGGGCTCGGAGGGCTGTTGAGGGTTGAGGGTTGAGGGTTGAGGGTTGAGGGTTGAGGGTTTAGGGTTTAGGGTTTAGGGTTTAGGGTTTCGGGTTTAGGGTTTAGGGTTTAGGGTTTAGGGTTTAGGGCTAAGGGTTTTGGGGGGTACACCCCCCCTGAGGGATCGGCTCCTCTCGGCATCCTCCGGCATGAAGGCTCGAGGAGCACAGCAGGACGCTGCAACCCGCAAGCCCCCAAACCCTGCATCCTGAAAGCCCTAAATTTCCCTAAATGTCCCTAAATTTCCCAAATTTCCCTAAACCCTAAACCCTAAATGTCCCTAAACCCTAAAAACCCTAAGCCCTAAACCCTCCAAAACCTCTGAGAACGAGGCCTCTGCCTCTAACCCGATCAGTCAAAACAGGTTTCCACCCCACCCAGAAACCCTACACCTGACACCCTAAACCACCTAAACCCTAAACCCTAAACCACCGTGTAGGTCGATGCTAGCCTGAGCCACAAAGCTCTCAAAGCAAGCAAGCGAAAACCTGCTCTGAAGGTCGCTTAAGGCGTTTAGGGCTTGGGTTTAGGGATTAGGCTACTTTACAGGCAGAGTTCTAAGTACCCCAAACAAGGGTATAAGTATAGTTACCATAAATAACTATAACCATACTTATAGCAACCCATGAACCTGCACGTAGGGATTAGGGTTTAGGGTTGTGGCCAGCGCCTGCGTCCTTTGGTTTCCTGGGCTGCTAAGCGTTAACCCTAAAACCCGAAACTCCAAATAAAACCGCACACCCTAAAACCGTAAATTCTCCCCCCTAAACCCCCAAACCCTTAAACCCTCAAACCCTAAACCCTAAAAATCCTCAGGCCCTTCAACCCTCAAACCCTAGAACCCTCAAGCCCTTCAACCCTCAAACCCGTCAACCCTCAAACCCTTAAGGCCTACTGCTTTAGGTCTAGCACGTACCGAATATGGCGTCGGACGGACAACCGGACCGTGAAACCGCACGGTCGGCTCCCGCAGTCCACGGCTGGCACGGTCCGGTTGCACGGTTGCACGGTTCTACGGTTGTACGGTTTCGCGGTTGCCCGCGCAGCCGTAGAACTGTGCAACCGTGCCAAATCCACGGTACGGTTCCACGGTTGACCGTACAGTACCCCTGGTTATAACCATACGGGTCCACGAGAATTCCACACGGTCGACGGTCGACCGTAATTATACGGTTGACCATAGTTATTGATTGCAGATGACCGTACCGTCCGTACGGCTGACCGTACGGCTGACCGTACAGTTGACCATACGGTTGACCGTACGGTTAACCGTACGGTGGACCGTACGGTTGACCATACGGTTGACTGTACAGTTGACCGTACGTTGACCGCACGGTTGTCCGTACGGCTGACCGTACCGCACGGTTGACCGTACAGCCGATTTGGCTGATCGGCTGATTGGCTGATTGGCGAGGGGTGCCCTGCCCCCGCAACCCCCCCGCTGCGCCCCCCCAAACCCCTTCCGCTGCTTCTTAAGCCGTGCAAAACGTGCTTCAATTCCTATGAATCTTGTTGAAACCCATCATGTGAGCATTGTGGTTGCAAATGCCCCCCCCCCTCCGCCTCTTTTAAGCCGCGCAAAGCGTGCTTCAAATCCTCAGAAACTTGTTGAAACCCATCATGTGAGCATTATTGCAAATGGGGGGGGCTGCGCCCCGCCCCAACCCCCCCGCTTTTTTCCTAGCCGTGCAAAGCGTGCTTCAATTCCTATGAATCTTGTCGAAATCCATCATGTGAGCATTGCGGTTGCAAATGGGAGCCCCGTCTTTTTAAGCCGGGCAAAGGGTGCTTCGGGCAAAGGGTGCTTCGGGCAAAGGGTGCTTCGAAGCCTGTGAATCTTGTTGAAACCCATCGCGTGAGCACTGTGGTTGCAAAGGGGGGGGGGGGCTGCGCCCCCCCCCCCCCCCCCCCCCACTGCTCTGTGGCAGAGTGGCAAGGTTTCGCTTTGCTCTTGAAAGCGTCGGCGGTCGTGGAAGAAGCGCCTCTTCCGAGCACGCACGGCTTTTGTAAGTTGGCCCCGACGCTCCAGACAGAGGTTGCGTTCGTGTAAGAGGCATAGAAGAAAGGTGAAACCGCGCGACGGCGTCATGCGACGCGCGGAGGCTGCGATTTTCTTCACAAAAGCAAAGCTCTGCTCGGCCGCGCTGCTGTTTGCAATTTGCGTGCTTCTGGGCGCGCGTCCGGCCAAAAGCATGGGAGTGGACGAGCACCGCCGGGTCGGCAACCTGCATGCCCCTTGCGGAAGTGAAAGCGGTCAATGCAAATGTTGACTGCAGAAAGCGCCTTGCTCATGGCATTGCGACGACGGCATTTTCTGGGGCGGAGGAACCTATGCAAAGTGCAGCCGCGCAATGAGAGGCATGCACTTGCGCGCAAACTCCCGGCGCTTTTGCTTGGACAATTGCTGCAAAGAGACATGTTGCATCTTTGCATATGAGTCCAGCAGCTCGGCTAGGAAGAAACACACGCCCGTGGGAGACTCATGCGTGTAGATGAGACGCACGGCTGCAATTACCTGGCAGGGACGCACAGCGCAAAGGATGCCGCCGCTGCGTCGCATGTGTGCCGCACGGTCCCACTGCGCTGCCTGTGTGAAACGCATCTGCTGCCCGATCCGGGGGCGAAGTTGACACTCACGTGACTGACTTTCCTTCAACAGGGCACCGTGCATGGCAAGAAACCGCACGGGAACATCTTTGCTGAGCAAACTGAAAGTTTGTTCCGCAGCAGTTTGGAAGAAGTAGCGTCGTGAGCTGGACACGAAGCAGACGCACAGGATAGGCGGCTGCGGCGTGCACAAATGCAAATTTACAAGCTCTCTTTGCCCGCTTGCAAAGAGCGGGCAGCGCGCAGCAAGCAGGACAGGCGCCCGTCCCCGGCGCTTCTTTCAGACAGGACTCTCCTGTGCACAGCATGCTCAGCAAAGTGCGAACACGCAGGTCAGACCCAAAGAATGGTTCTGCGTCTTGGAGGTGAAGGCTGCAGAACTTCTTGCCAGGTATCGGAGGACGCTGGCAGCCGGTCAGACAATGCGCTCGAAGTGGCCGGCAAATCCAAGCGCCGTCGTCTGAGTTGGCGCAGAGTCGGGTCCGCACTTTTGCATTGCCGTCCAAAATGAGTGCTCGGCCTGCGCAATTCCGGCACACATGTTCATGCAACCAATGCTTCTGAAACTTCTGCGTGAGCGTCTCGCCTTGCACGCAATGACTCCATCCCACGATGTCCGACCTGGAAATCAACGGAGGCTGCTCTGGGGCCAAGGAAGGAGGCTATGGTGAAAAGCATCCACGTGTCACGCAGTAGCAGCTCAAGCGAGCGAGGGCGCAGGGATGTTCGCACCAAACTTGCAATGCCTTTGAAGCTTGCGCAGAAGGAGCTGCATGACGAGCTGCAGAAAGGAAAGGGAGAACACGGCATTTGGTGTTGCGCAGAAACAGGTCTGCGTGTTCCATGGATCCACGAGCCACCGCTCAACATTCTTCGGCTTTTTTTGCCGCCAACGCCAGGGTCCATAGTAGGCAGCTCGGCACTTGCGGCCTTGCGGCAAGTCAAGGTCTCGAGCACAGCTGTTTCTGCAACATTCAGCTGCGTGATGTGGGGCACAACGCTTGTGCTTCCATGCTGCAGTGTCGTGTTGCAGCAATAGCATTTACGACAAGCTGGTCTCAGGACACGCAGAGACTTGCGAGCTGAGTTGGAAGGACCGTGCCGAGCAAGCGCGGCGCCCAGGTCAGCAATTTACGCAGCACAAAAGAGCGGCGGTGTTGCGTCAAGGCACTGGCAGGGTATCCGTCGTGTGTGATACGACAAGCCACGCGCGCACGACAACCATCATCGGCGCGATGGAAAGCTAGACGAAAGCGTGAAGCAAATCCGGAGTTGCAGGGTATAGCAGGGAGGCCAGTCCATGAGACTGCCGGGCGGCTGCATCCGGTGCCAGGAAAGCACTCCCCCCTGTGACACCCTTGCTCTTCAGCAAGGACACTTTTGACGTATTTGTCCAAGGTGGACAGCGTAGAATTCATGCGCGAGCACGGGCGCTTCGGTGATCTTGCACATCTTCTTGATAGATTCTGTGAGCAGAAGATACTCAGCATTATATTGCTGCGGAGCTGCTGCACGCTTGTGCTTGAACAGGCCCAGTAGATTTGCAAAGACGGCGGTGTTGGGCGGCTGCTCATGGCGCCGCCGCTTTTGCACGCGACTGACCGTGCCACTTTGCTGATGCACTGCAAGCTGCGTGTACCTAGTCCAGGAGCAGGAAAGCATTGCGTACATGCTGTTTGCTTGTGCAGGCCACTTTCCACGTCGTGGAGCTTGCGTATGGCGCTGCTTTGGTCAACGATGACCGACGTGGTGCTGCAAAGGATCCATTGGGCTGCGAGAAACGCATACACTTGGGCGGCGAGATCCAGGGCGTCCCACCACTGCGCGAAGGGTCCGGCACGCTTGCCACTGCCACCAGGATTTCCAGCTTGGGTGTGCACCGGGCAGAGTTCGAGATTCAAGGAAAACCACCAAATTGGAATTACTTTGGGCGGCAGCCTCTCGCAGGCCAGACTCCTCGAGACAAGCAAGCAGATCGGAGCGCAGGGCTAAACACTGCGATTGCTGCGACAGGTACTCAAAAATGGTTCGCGCCAGCTCGACATGCGCACCTGCGAGGCGACGTGACCACTGCAGAGGCTCGCCACGAGCCTCAGAGCAGGGCAGGCGTGAGCCCACACATGAAGCAGAAGCGCCAGGCGCCAAGGCAAAGACTTGAGTTTGCCGGCCTGGGAGAATTTCTTCGGGTCCAGATATGAGAGTTCTTGCTTGAGGACCTGAGCATCGTAGTGGCTTTTGAAATCTTCGAAGGCACCCAACGCGAAAAAATAGGGTATGTATTTCCGCACGTTGTCATAGTCTGCGCGGTTTGTTGCGTGCTCCTGCTCAGAACGCGCGAGGCTGCGCACAAAGCGAGAGAGCAAGGACTCAGGCAGGCGAGGTGGAGGTTGCAAGGCTCGCGCAGGCCCGTAGACGGTGCTGTCGAGGACAGTTTCAGCACGATCCAAGCTCGGCATGCTATGGAACATCAAAAGGCGGCTTTGCACGCCCAAAGATTGATCGTCTTTGGACAAAAAATCGTGCCACTCTTCGATGTGGAAAGTCATAGCAAGGCAGAGGCATGTCTTATTCATTAGGAAACGGTTCTGGTCCTTCACGACCGAACGCTTCCAGGAGGAGCCATTGAATAATTTCGACACGGTGGCAGGGTTGAACCCAGAGCCTTCACCATGTGCAAGGGCCCGCAGCAGGAAGCGATCCTCGTCGTACAGGCCAACGGCTCGATGGCCATTCTGCGCCATCTGCATGCCAATGGCGGGCAAGTACATCTGCGGCTCGTCGCACAGGCCAACGGCTCGATGGCCATTCTGCGCCATCTGCACGCCAATGGCGGGCAAGGAGCCTTCATCGCAGTACATCTGCGGCTTGTTGGCACACACGGCCGCAACTCTCTTGCGCATTTGCACCCTGCGCTTTTTGGCTCGAGCACCCTCATCCTGCAATGGCTGGCCGCCTTCATCGTCCTCTTCCATGTCATTGGCAGGGGGGTCAGTGCGAGCCTCGGCAAGAGCACGCTCCAGGAGTTCTTTCTCAAAGCCAGAAATGATATCTTCGACAGCGGTCATAATGCCACTTTTGTTGGCTCCACTATCCAAACAGAGGCCTAGCCAGAGAAGAGGAGGCACGAGGAAGAACTCGTTGATGTAAAGACGTGCTGTTGCGATTCGCAAACGCATGGTATGTTTTGACACCGCCATCAAGAGAAGGATGGTCGGGCAGACAGCTGCAAACGTTCCAGCATCTGGCGGAATGTGGCGAATTTATGAACAGCAAGCACACGACAGACGAGCACGCGGCCTCCAGAAGCTGAGATCTTGAAGGTCACCCAATCATTGGCTGCAGCTTGCTCGACCCAACCCTCGCTTGGTCGACCCGCAATGAACTTTGCTCCTGAGGCAAGCAGACGGGCATAGCGGGGCTGAAGATAGGGTTGACGGGTTGACCCCATCTCCGTCCAAGCGGCGCGTCGTCATCCCAGCAGGCACGCGCACGCACACGACGCAAGTGGTCCTCGCCGGACTGCCAGTTTGCCCAGTCGCCTCCATTACCTGTTCCACCGACCACTCGCACCGGAATTGCGGGATGCCGTCTGAGACAGGCACCAGTCTGCAAACGCCTGCGAAGCTCGTCAGGCAGGGGCGAGGTGGCAGGCGACGCAGCACAGAAGCAGGCGTCTCTCTTGTTCGAGAGGCAGTGTGGGTTCTCAACAGGGCTCGCGCTATCCAGTTGGCACGGACGTCGACATAGATCAACAGCGCACCGTGCGCCAGGCATTTCTGTGCTTTCGCAAAAGTGATCACCCGAAGCGATTGTGCGGGTGTGGCGTGCAGGAAGTGTCCAGACGAGCAAACAAGCACGGCGCCGGCAAGAGACACCGGCAAGTATTGGAAGCAGATCTGCTGCAAGGCAAGTGCATCAGGAGCTCGCGCGCGATCTGCAATCGAGTCGGAGACTTCGAGGCAACAGGACTCCTCAAGGGCACGCAAACGCAGAAGTGCACAGAGCCTCGTTGTGTCGAACGCTTCGAATAATGCATCGTGAGAAGGGGCGCAGGCAACAACTGGCAAACAAAGCATGATTTGGATGTTGGTGGGCATTCGGTTGGCATGATTGGCGCAGAGCAAGCTGAAACAGGAAAGTATCGGCGAGAGCACGGGTTCCAGAAAATGCAGCTCCCAGCGTTCGGGAAGACGACGGATTGTCGCCACTAACCATCTGCGCGGGTGAACGCGCAGTTGCTCCCCGTGTCGAAAAGTGTGAGACGGCGCCCGAGTCGGGAGTGAGCAACGTCTACCAGATTGTTGAGCACCCAGTCCGGCAGGTGCGAAAAGCTTTTCCGGTAAAAGCTTGCTTCGCTGCCCCGATTATTGAAGGCTTGTGCAAAATGCGCAGCAAGTACTGACAAATCTGTGTCACACACATGTCCCCAAGCTTGCAGAAAGGTACAGGCAGGGCTAGCGGTGGCGCAGAGGGAGAGGCCAGTAGTAAAAACTGTCTAGCTCACCTCGAAGAGTCTGGATGCGATCGGCCTCTGCGGCTGCACGCAAGGAGACCTGGTTTTGTTCTTGCGGCGAACCCCCCCCCACGGATTGGCTGGCACCAGAATAAACACAGGCTTGTACAGGCGTTGGTGAAACAAGCGCGACCGCAGCAGTCCGGTTTCGTGGAGAGGAGATCTCCGTCCAAGTGGCACGTCGTCATCCCACTTTGTCCAGTCCCCGACAACCCAGTTCGGAAGCTCCACTGACCTCTCCTGTGCCCCAACGACCACTCGCTCTGGACTGACGCGCTGTTGCAGAGTGCCAAACTTGGACTTGCGCCCGGTAAGGTTCGCGCTTCGAGGCTGCCTCCTGCGACGTCCGTGGAGACAAGGAAGTCTTGTTCATGGCGATTGGCAAGCGCAGTCCTTGGCAGCAGGACGAGTCGCCGTGCCAGCCACGCACCATTGCGCGCAGTTGTCATCCTCGAAGTTACCACGGACGTGTCTGGCTCTGGTAACGGACCAAGCATCTCCGCTCGACAAAGCTACAAAGACATGCAGGCTGTTGTTGCCGGCTGGAATTCGCCAGTGATGCGGAAGAAACGTGCCTGCCAACAGACGGTCCTCGGCACCAAACACGGCTGCGTGGATCCCTGAGGACAGGCGACGCAACCGTACGGTCAACCGTACGCACAACCGTATAGACAGCCGCACGGTCAACCGCACGGTCAACCTTACGGTCAACCGTACGGTCAGCCGTACGGTCAGCCGTACGGTCAGCCGTACGGTCAGCCGTACGGTCAGCCGTACGGACGGCACGGTCATCTGAAATCAACTATGGTGAACCGTATAATTACGGTCGACCGTACGGGTGGGGCCCCGGCCGCGGCCGACCGGACCGCGAAACCGCACGGTTGACCGTGCAACCGCGTAACCGTACCGAACGGCGAACCGCACAGCCGCGAAACCGTACGGTCGACACAGTTGCACGGCTTACGGTCAATAGCAGTAGCCCGACCCTAAACCCTAAACCCTGAACCTTAAGGGATTCTATACAAGGGAGTCCTTACTAACCGGTCAGCCCTTTTCGTTCCAAGCCACGCTCGAAGCACTGTGTCTTGAGGACTGCGGCCAGCTTCGGCAGGAGACCGCTGGGAGTCCGAACCCTAAACCTATTTCAGGGCTTCGGGTTTAAGGCTAGATTAGTACTATATACTGTTACGTGTATATATATATATATACAGATATTACCTGAAGGTTCAGTTATTGTCTTTTTTGGTTCTTGTCAGTATAGCTTTTACAATTACCAGTGCTGGTATTGCTGTTGTTCCTGTTGCTTATTTTGAAGTGCTTACGGTTACCATTCCTATTCCTCTCACTCGTACTTTTGGCATTACGATCAAGACTCCTGGTATCAGTATGTGCGTGCCAAACGCCGAGCCTCACATGTGGCCATACTCACCGACACCGATACCGTACATCAGGCTGAGGGTCGATATGATTGGGGGGACCCTCGGGGATATAGACCCTCTGAAAAGGGTCCCTGTTTACGAGAGCCAGCAGAGGGTTCAGAAGGGTTCCCTTTTAAGGGTCCCCCTTATCCGGGGTTCTATTCCTTAATCAAGGGGTCTGGAGCTGTAAACCCAAAACCCAAAACCACGAAGGCTTCAAGATGTGCCCAAATTTTGGAGGGCTACTCCTTCAAGCAATGCGCGGGTGTTAACCCTAAACCCTAAACTCTAAACCCTAATTGCTCTGCCTTATTTGTAAAACACTGGGCAACTTAAGAAAGGACCCTGGGCGGATGACCGCAAGCAGAGTCAAGTCGCTACTACCAGAAGTCTCCTCCCCACGCACCTCGGATGCGGTCTCAGCTCTGCCGTTGCAACATACAACATAGAGTATGGAATATAGACTGTACGTAGAATGAAGAATATAGACTATAGACTATAGAATATAGACGATGGAGTATCGAATTTAGAATGTAGAATATGGGGTGTAGAAGATCGACGAAAAACGAAGATGGCATGGTATAGACATATTGTCATAGGCTTCTGGCGCTTGCGAACCAGAACCCTTCTGTCATCTAGTGCTTAGGGCTTAGGGTTTCGGATTTTGAGTCGAGTAAGGTTTCTTGAGGGCTTCAGCCGGGTTTAGAGTTTAGGCCTTCAGAGTCTACCAGGGTCGGTGTGCGGATTTAGGGGGTTTTTGGGGGGGTTCGGGGGGGGCGGGGGTTTGGCGGGTTTTCGGGAGATCCCAAACCCTAAACCCTAAACCCAACACCCTGGACCCTACACCCTAAACCCTAGCTTGGAAAGGTTTGGCGCTCTCGAGAGCTGCTAGACATGGGCCTGGAGGCCTTTGAAATCCAAGCCCGAAAGCGCAAACAGCTGCATGTTCCCCAAAATAAGGGTTTCGGGCTTTAGGTTCAGGATTTAGGGTTTCGGGTTCGGTTCAAGGCTTTTTCTTGCTTGGGGGGGGGGGGTGGTAGGGGGAGGGGGGGGGAGAGGGAGGAGGGGGGGAGAGGGAGGAGGGGGGGAGAGGGAGGAGGGGGGGAGAGGGAGGAGGGGGAGAGGAGGGGGGGAACGGGCATCTGGATTTCAAGGTGTTCCGCATGTCGCTGCCACTGGTGCTCCCACAGGTGAGGTGCAGAGCTTGGCTTCGGGTTTAGGGGTTCGGGGTTTAGGGTTTAGGGTTTAGGGCTCTTGGAATCCTCCTGGAGTGTTCTCGGTGTGGTTTGGGGCATGATCCTGGGGCGCTGTTCGAGTGCTCTTGCGGTGCTCGTGGAATGCTCTTGAAATGGGCTTGCACTGCTATAAAGGGGTCCATGCTGGCATGGTTTAACTAACGAACTTATATCTTTATGACAATGAACTGCAAAGCAAGTAGGCTTTGGGCTTTGCAGGTAAGCCCAAACCCTGAACTGGAACATAAAAACCTGGCCTACCAGGACATGCCCGCTCGAGGCTGAAAATTGGTCCGCTGCAGAACTGGACAAATGGGCGCAACACGCCACGACTCAAATGCAGGACTGCAGTGTTGAATACAACGTCGCCATCAAGGCGCTACACGGGGACTTATGTCACGTCCGGCACCACAGAGGACCCAGAAAGCCCAACACCCCTTAGTTTAGGAAATTACCTTTAAACTATATAGGGATCCTTAGCATGATTTGAGGTATATTCCTTAGTTAAGGGGTATTGGGCTCTTTGGGTATGCGCCTCTGCATTGAGCATTGTGAATCAGGTGGCTGCTCAGATGAGGCCTCCTCCCCAAAGCACCCGGTCCCTCTGGAACTCATCCTGTGCAGTGCATGCCGAGACAAATTTTCTTGGAGGTTCAGGGGTGTTATAAGTAGGTTTACAAGTATCCCAAATGGGGCTATAATAAGTATAGATACCATCCTCATAAGCCTACTTATACATACCCAAGAACCTCAAGTAAGGTCTTGGGTTTAGGGTTTAGGGATATAGGCGAGCCCACGCTGAAGGTGCATGAAAGCAGGCAAGGTTGTAGGAAGGGCATCTGTAGATCTCACCGCAAGGCAGGCCACCGATACAACCCTGCGCGTGAACTAGCGCAAGCTCACCCAGAATCAAAATCAAAAAACAAAACCTCAACCCTCATGGCATACTACTTGGGGATAGAACCCCCAAACACTAAAACTCAAACTCCTTCTCCCAAGACACAAGACCCCAAAACCCCCAAAACCCCACA